TTTTATCGGCCGATAGTTGGGCAGTATCAGTATGGAAATGTATGATAGTGCGCACATTACATCGGCCGATTCTTCATACAAATTAGTATCCGGCCCAAATATCGGTCAACTAAAAGTCTTCAGTCTGCGGAGAGTCTAAATCTATCTACCAACGATATCGGCATCGGAATGCTGATTCGAAATTCGGGGTCGCCCTACCATCCCCTAAAATATGTCACTTTATTCCATAATGCAATGCAAGCAATATGATTCATAGATTTAAAATATTATTATTTTATTATTAACTACTAGTTTTATTGCAGGCCACAAAAGGTCTAATCGCCCAGCAACGGATGAGTGTGCATCCCAAACCGATTCAACCTTCACCCAGTTGTCTCGCCCCCAATGCTCAACGAGATCAACCCAGTTCGTCAACTGGGTAATCGCCGGTTAATGTCCATCTGTCAGATAGCCACTGGTTGGGCAGTCTCCATTGACTGAAGGCGACATGGCGTCTATATTACTTTTTGTGTGGACTTGAAGTGACTTGAACCACGTATAAAGCTTTCTTTCTATAAGTTTACCGTTATATGGACGAATGATTGTTACTACTTCACTACTAGATGGATTTTAATTAAATTTGGAAATGTTATTCAAAAGCTTTTATCGAAATCTATGCATATAGTCGTGGGAAAAACTTTCATTTTTCCTAGACGATATAAAAATAAATATGCAGAAAGCACCTATGCGGGTGTTAGTACATTTGACATGCTCTTCCTTTTAATGTAAAAATAAATTTAAACAAAAAAAAAAAGAAAGTGTTATTGCAAATCTGCTTTTACTTAATTGTATCTGTACATAAAGTTAAGTATTAGGTACAATATCTTGAAATGAATTGAACATAGGAAGTATATGGTAAAACTAATTTAATTATTAATACACAGCTATTTTAAATTTTAATAACGATTCCTTGTATAGCAATTTCATATAACGCTAGAAAGGAAATTGGATTTTTGTCCGTTAAAGTGACAGGTTTGAACTTAACTTAATTATTCATAAGAGTAATATTTAAACAAATTATGTACTTTAACATAAACAAGACGAATTACCATAATCGCGGTATGAATATTTTAATACTGAATCGAAGTGTGTACATGATTGCACTATGATTGGCAAACATTATGAATTTATGATGATTATAACTATGTATTAACATTAAAATACATTAATTCGGTGAGCGTATGTCACTTCCTTTTATTTTAAAGGAGTTTTTGAGGAGCAGCATTATTAATTTCCATTTATTATAATTATTTTAATTCAGCATTGTGTATAATAATTATTATAAGTAATGCAAACAAAATTTTAATAAAATATGACACAAAAAACGGATGTGTACGTACATTTCCATATTCATGAGTTTTATAGTTAATTATATTACCTACTTAGTTTTATTGTGGATCTCACGAAACGACAACGACGACATTTTTACATTCTTATTTTTTTTCTTTCCTTCTTAGGCGCAGTGTTATATTAGTAGGTATAATTAAGGGCTTAATCAAAACAGCCATTACAACAAGTATTTTTACGTAATAATTACAAACTAAAATTTTCTACGATGATATAACAAACATAAGACTTCTGATGTGTTAATATTCTGTCGTTTTACCCAAAAGTGAGCTTTAGAAATTTTTAAACGAAAATATAAATACGTTAATCTGTGGGACATGGGATCTTGGCTCTAACTTTGGAGAGTACTTACCATGGACCACACTAGATAAGTGTGGGTCTTATATCAAAGCGAAAGGTCACTGATTGACTGACTCACTCATCACGAAATCTCAGAAACTAGAAGTGCTAGGAGTCTCAAATTTTGCATGGGGGTTCCTTTTAGAACGTAAGTGCTCACTAAGACGGGATTTTGCAAAATTCAACACCTAAGGGGGTAAAACATGAACCACGCGTACGTAGTCGTGGGCGGCCGCTATAGGTATATGAACTAAGACCTGATCTCTTGGTCACCCTCTGGAGCTTTAGGCTATATCAAGTCCCCAAAAGACAGGACTACCTAGTTTGGGGACTACCAGTAAGTCACTTGAATTCCTATTAGTAAAACTACTTTGTAAGCATATGTAACTAAAGTGCATTTTTCTGGAAATAAAATTTATTATTATTATTATTTTGAGTTGTTTTAAATTTATTATTATTATATTTTGAGTTTCGCTTCTTGAGACAGACCCTGAAATTACATACTCATGGTACTTATAGGACTTTTTTTACCTAATCGCTCTATGGCCCCAAGCTGAAGTTACGTAAGCCCTTATCTCACATATCATTGACGCAATTATGATCCGAGGCCCACATGTGTTTTCCTGCGCCGGCGCAGCGTGTCGTTTGCGGGTCGTTATAGGAAGTGCCCGATTACTGATTAACATATTCCGCTATTTCTCAAATTGCCCGGTCGTCGGCGCACGCGCTGCTTTCGCCAAAGGAAATGGGGGTAGGGCTGACAGTTTCGAAATATGGACAGCTGAGGTACTGAACTCAGAATAAAGTTAAGGTAAGAAAGGAGCCAGTTTCCGCTGTGGTTGAGAATTCCAGGTGAAGCGCACTTCTACCTTCGGTTTTACTATAAAATAAAATTACTAATTAAAATCATGAACCTAAAATCCTAATGTAATGTATTTTTTTTCACAATGAGGAAACTCTTAGCTTGCATCGCCCATCTGATAGAAAGTAATGATCAGGCCGAAGCTGAAAGAGAGCTTCTGGAATCTGGAATTCTCAACCACAGAGGAAACTGGCTTCTCTTTATTCTGAGTTCACTACCTCAGCTATCCATATCTCTGCCTATCTTACCTCTAACTTTATTTTGATTTTTAGCCGCTGTGGGGAAATGGGTGGTAATAATTATAATTTTGCAAAAGGCGATGATTTAAGAAGTCCTAAATTATCTTTAATAATAATAGGCATTAGTTAGTTAGTCTTTATGGCTGATCGTTAACTAGATAACATTGCATTGCTCCCGATTCCAGAGACAACCCTGCGCGTTCGTCTCATTACTGTCAGTCGGCGTTCGTTTAGAAATGTAAACACAGTGTTTTGGGCCCCGGCTTTCCTCGGGACGCTAATGGGACTAATATACGGAAGATATTACTGGGGAGTGGTCTCCGGGAAAGCTGTCCTTAATTTGTTTGTGGATGTGTACTGTAGACGCTATCGAGGAGTTTATGGCAGTAATGTTATAGAATAATGCTGAGTTCTGTCACCTAACTTTAACCGTAACTATGACGATAGCCGGATTTTGAATAGTTTGACAGATTTTTGACATTTGTTAAAGTCAAAGTAAGATGGTGTATAAAGAGGTTTAAAGTCATAGAGCTTAGGTGATTTAGTAGAATTTTACAAGATTAGACATTCCTTCATTAAAGAGAGAATTTATATGGTAATTAACATCTTGTCTCTATTTGGAAACACACCTATGATTATAAATTTTAATAGCACGTTGAAAATCAAGTTTTGCCTTCACACAAAAAATAATTGTAAATATCTCAGCATAATCTATTTCATTGGATTACTGTTTAGAATAATTGCACATCACAAATAAAAAAGCAACGCCATTAACATTATTAATTATAATTGCTTAATCGGTAAAATATTTTTATACGATGCATGTCATCTTCCCCATCAGAGAAGACTATTCATGATCAGAAAATTGCGATATAATGTGCTCTATTATCATAATCGATGGAAAATAAACACACTCGTGTGGTATCTGCAAATAACTCAGTCAACTTTTTGGTTTAAGATGATTGAGTGCTCCACTTTTTGAATGTCAGTGAGTAATTGTTTTGCGCTAAAAGCCATGGCTCTTATTATCTCAATTCTTTATGTAATACGCAAGTGACAAAGAGAACAGCAAAATAAGATGACGCCTACAAAATACCACAAAAAATACTTCCTCAAGTAATGGTAACTTCAAAGTAAAAAAGCTTGTTCTATGAACAAATAACAAAGCAAAAACCGGGACAAACAGGAAGATGTGCGTTAACAGGTTCTGTAGAAAGGCTCGTTAGTGCTCATTCGACAGATAAGTGACAACTTTTTTGTGAACTTTTTCTTGAGTTCGAATCATCTTGGAGCTGTGATACAGACGCGCCTGGACTCGCACAAAGGCGCTAGTGAGTTGCGCTATTACTTCGGAATGTACTGGCGGTTCTATACGAGCTAGGTAATCTGTAGTCCCCTCGAGTACAAGCCTCACTAATAAGGCTAATGAAGCTGTCGATACTTTAAACAGTTCGGAGTTATTAACACTAATTAACGCCGACCTTCAAAGAACAGATCTTCAATTACTACTCATTAAATATTTTCGGGTCCTTAAAACGAGTGGTTATTTTAATGTACGCCTCATTGCATTTTAATAGTGTCAATTTGGTAATGATTATTCTTTGCCTGATGAACAGATGACTTCATTTTGTGGCAGGTATAATGAAGACCTCCATCGTGTCGTATGATTTGGTGAAAATAAATAAGGTATGCTCCTTCTTTCAATTAAAGAAGAAACGGGTCCGTTTGGTTCCGACAAAGGAGAATATTTTAAGTGGAGGTCGTAAAGGGCGACTATGTGGACATTATGAAACCATCAGACCATGTGAAGTTCTCCATTTGCCTTTGGTAATTAAGAGAGAGTCGTACTCCTACCGTGGAGACTAATAAATGACCTACCAGGCTAGGATGCGTGGATGGATGCTAGGATGATTTGAGACGACAAATGTGTGTCACAGTTTAAAATCGATAAAGTGCCTCGATAAGATAATTGTATACTGCTATATCTTCAGCGCCCTGCTGAGGATGTTGGTTATCATCATCAACATCATTTCAGCCACAGGACTTCCACTGCTGAACATAGGCCTCCCCCAATGACTTCCACATCGCATGGTTGGTAGCGGCCTGCATCCAGCGCCTTCCTGCTACCTGTATCACCTATGTTGGTAACGTCAAATAATGAAAGATTTTCTTACCTTACTCCGAGGGTAGACGCTCAGCACGTCAGCCCACCACCGGGCCTCCTCCCGGCAGGTGCCCTTGACGAAGGTGACCCTCTCCGGAGCCGTGATGGCCAGGCTGTGCGCGTGGCCGGTAACTCCGTCCGCCTCGCTCACTTCTAAGACGGTCGTCATGTCCACACTGGCTTGGGGCACTGTGTCTGGCTGTGGAAGAAAATTGAGGGTTAGAAAATTTGAAGATACAAAAACAGTGAGAAGATAGGGCTAAGGTTATGGTAGTTGAGGGAGATATGACCTTCACTGGTTGGGTTTTTAGTGGCGGTCAAGCTGTAGATCCTGGCTACACAGGAGTTACAGCGGTGGAAACGAGAGGTGGGAATAGTCCCGTAGTTGAGGGAGAAACTAGGGTCAAAGGACTAATCTTCCCACCTTTCATTCCCACTACTATAACTACTCTATTGTCGTAACTGTGTTCATGAGTAATGGTAGTAAGGCGAGGGGACAGGGAAAGCTGGGCTTTCCTCTGGATCCGAAAACTTCACCGCAAACTGAACCTCCGTTGCCTCTCCTGTGCACAACATGGTAGCTAGGAGACGGTTAGACATCGTCTATGCGTGAAGTAGTAATGGAAGGTGAGTAGAATCCTAGATTTTCCTTTTTTGAAGATCCTTACAGTACCTAAAGATATATTGTAAAGTTCAAGTGCGTAATCATATTTTAACATTCCAATAGGATTATAAATAATATGGCACTAACTTTTTAATAAATCGAACAAATTACATTTCCCCGCAAGTTAAATCGCCGTTAACGGCCACAACACTGATAAAGGCGCTCCTATCTTGATACTTAGTCTAACTGGTGGGAACTGATAAATGAGGGTGTTAATGTGGACCAGCTCCTGGTCTGGCCAGCCCCAAGGCGCCTGACAGCAGCATCTGTCATCATGACCACATGACGCCGCTTAGTTTCTCAACGTCGCCGCAGAGGGCGCTAGTAGATAACTGCGCGCGCGCAGCCCGCACTATCTCAAGCAGACGGTAGCCATTATTCAGCTGTTCATTAAGCTACTAAACAGCTTGTCTTTAATGACAAGATTTTTCTCAATAATGGAATTACATTAGCATTTTTAAAGCTATGATGTGCGGTTAAAAGGTCTATAAATTTATATTGTTGGAGCAATTGCAACGGAATACAAAACGAAGATTTTATAAATTATTGATTTCATTTTATTCTTAATATCTAAGCATCTACTTTAAAATGCAAGAGGCGATTATGAAGTGTGATTAATAATAATGAAAACCTTTACAAAGGTATGAGGTAAATGTTTAAAAAAATGCATTTATAATTTTGTACTTTGGACTTTCATAAAGTTTGGGATCTCATTTCTTGGAGCTCCTTTGACGTCATGGATTCCGAAGCTGATTCAGAATGACTTATTAGATTACTAACCGTATTTTATAACTTTGTTTCTTATTATCCTTATGTTACGATTTGGAATACATTATGTGACTATTGCGCAATATTTTTAAATGCTAATATGAGTAAGAGAAGACTCAAGTAAGTGATAGTGAAAAACCATAATTTTGAGACGAATCAGGTTGCATTATGTGCATATACACAGGTTCTATTCATAAGTGCCCTTTACAGTCCACTGCTGGACTATGAGCCTCCTCCACTATGGTGGAGGGATTTGCCATAATCTCCACGCTTGGCAGGCGGGTTGGAGATCGCTGTTGATGATGATTCATAAGTGGCATGAATGAATTAAATATAGCCCAGACGTATAGCATATTATGTTGAAACCTGATTGTAATCGCTTGAAGATATCAAGATTCTACGATGTTTAAACGAAAAAAGTTCAATACATCGTAAGCTTTTATGTAGTAAGTATTTAAGATTTATTAAGACTGTTAATTTATCATTCTGCATCTAAAATCTAATGAAGTCCACGGCCAATAGTGCCTCATCCATGTCGGCATTGAAATTATTACTATTAATCCTATAAACGTTTCGTCCATCGTATCAATAACAGCAAATATCGAAGCACGGGGACAAGCGTGGAGCCCACAGTTGGTCTTAATTGCGATTTATAGGGCTTTAACGTCGGCACAATATTGTTTATCGGAGCATCGGACCGAAGCTTGGGATGTGCCCATGATGAACAAAAGAAAAAGATTGACAATAGCTGGATAAATTGCTAAAAAGAAAAAAAAAACACAAAAACTGTTCTAATACTGTACTTACTTGAAAATCGTCAAATGATAAAAGACTAATAAAAAGATTAACACCCGTATTAATAATAATAATAAATCTTTGGACAATTTCACACAGCGCCAGCTAGCCCCAAAGTAAGCAACTTAATGCTTGTGTTATGGGTGCTAGCTTAACGGATATACTACTTATATACTTTTTTTTTAATACATACATCTTATACATAGTCACACCCAGACCCGTCACAGAAATTAAAATTCATCATTTAAATTTCTGCCCGGCCGGGAATAGAACCCGGGACCTCTCGGCATAGTAATCCGTTCTGAACCACTACACCAAACGGCCGACAATTTATTAACAAACGATGCTTGCTTAAGTGAACGCAAAGCGTTGAAAGCTCTGTGATTGGTTCGTGTTTCACCCTGTGCGTCAACGAGCACTTTGAGACCTCACACACAGTCGTTCGTGTTTCACCCTGTGCGTCAACGAGCACTTTGAGACCTCACACACAGTCACACTCACAGTAATGTTTCTGAATACGGGCTTACCTAAGTATTGCTCATCAAAAGATCGCCAAGAGAGATTGAATTGATAGTCTACTCTTTATTGTGATTAAACAGATAGGTACATGGGTGACAGACAGATAGCCATCTTTATTATTTATGAGGAGTATCGTATCTATATTATTATGTATAAAAGAACAAGTTGTAATAGTCACTTTATCTCCTAATAAAGACACAAGCGAATTCAGAACCTCCTCCTTTTGACAGAGACACAATAATTGCACACATATTTGACACTAGCTTTCCGCCCGCGGCTTCGCCCGCGTGGAATTTTGTCTGTCACAGAAAAACTTTATCGCGCGCGTCCCTGTTTCAAAAACCGTGATAAAAACTATCCTATGTAATGATGTATTCTAGCAAATAAATTATTGAATTTGAATTTATGTCCTTTCCCGGGACTAAAACTATCTCTATACCAAATTTCATCAAAATCGGTTCAGTGGTTTAAGCGTGAAAGTGAGACAGACAGACAAACAGAGTTACTTTCGCATTTATAATATTAGTATAGATAGTATAGATTGCATTTTTCTGGAGACTAAAATTTGACGATCTTCAGTTCTTATATGTGATATTATAATTTTGCACTAAAGAGGAAAGTTTTATGACGCACTTAGAGTTTGACTAATGTTAGAGACGTGTCACTTGACCACTGCCCGCTCTTACTGTAAACACAGCCTTGGCCGCAGTCCAGTTCCACGGGGCCTGTAATTTGACGTTTATCGTCATTCTAGAGCTATGCAAATGTATACTTGCAACCTGTAACCTGGAACACCACAATTATGTTCTGTTATTTGAGCTGTTTTGACGATGGGTTGGTGGAGAAATGACACTTCTCATCCGTGTCGTTCGTTCGATTCTCACTAACTTTTCTCGAATTCATACACCTAAATGCCTTCAAAGTAAGAGCTATATCTTGCAAACTTTACACAGAAGGTATTTATAAAGATTTCAGATCACTCCAGAAATAAAAAAAAAACTAAGTCTGAGTTACAACTTTAACCGAAACTATATCGATAACCGGCGTTTTTTGTATGGAGTTTGATAGATTTTTGACGTTTCTTAAAGTTAAAGTAAGATGGATGGTTGAACCCAGCCTATGGAAACGGGAAGAGAACACCATAAAAATAAAATTATTGAATTTCTTTGTTTAGGCTGTTTATTATGGTGCCTCAAGCTCTCTACATAGCAATTAAACAGCATGTGTAATAATCTTATTACTTCTATAAATATAACGCAACGATTGGTAAAATAGTGCCTACTTATTAGTTATGATGACTGATTAGTCCTGCCCACCCGGTCACATGACAGTGTCCACAGATAAAGCACGCCGACCCACGGTGGGCTGATATTAGAGCTTCATAGACTTAGCGTCGCTCAAAAATCAAGCGCCGAATTTTGAAAAAATAAATATGCCAATGTGTTCCTTTACCAAAAAGGAATATTTTATGTTATGTAACGTTTCTTGATAAAGTTATTATTTAATAAGTTATTGACAAATTCCTTTTTTTTTGTATGGAGNAGGTGTAAGTGTGCCGCAGCGATGCAAAAAAGCAGAGAGCTCAGTGTAGACACTGCTCTAAAAATGAGCAGAACACTGATTTTCAGCTCTTGCTTGAAAAAAAGAAGGAAGATACACGAGAATAGTAGAGAATATGGTGGTAAAAATGTCGCATAATAAAAACATTCTCTTGTCAGTGCGTGCATAGACCACAGCTGGGGCGGTAACGAGGAGAACGCGTTGGTGCGCATTGACAGCATCCTGATGGCAAAGTATCCTGCTGCATGTTGCGCCAGCGCAGCGCTGAGGGTGGCCCGGCCGCCATCGCCTCTAAGGTCCAGTACGTTTGGTGCACAGAAAGCAGTTCTTAAAGTAAATCCATGTACTCACTGCGTCAGCTGGCATATTTCTTCAGGCAGATCAGTGATGCGATTGTCACTGATGTCCAGATGCGTCAGTGTGTGCATAGACCACACCTGGGGCGGCAGCGAGGAGAGTGCGTTGGTGCGCATTGACAGTACCCTAATGGCAAAATCTCCTGCTGCATGTTGCGCCAGCGCAGCGCTGAGGGTGGCCCGGCCGCCATGGCCTCTAAGGTCCAGTACTTTTGGTGCACAGAAAGCAGTTCTTAAAGTAAGTCAATATACTCACTGCGTCAGCTGGCATATCTCTTCAGGCAGATCAGTGATGCGGTTGTCACTGATGTCCAGATGCATCAGTGCGTGCATGGACCACAGCTGTGATGGTAACGAGGAGAGCGCGTTGGTGCGCATTGACAGCACCATGATGGCAAAGTCTCCTGCTGCGTGTTGCGCCAGCGCAGCGCCGAGGGTGGCCCGGCCACCAACGCCGCTGAGGTCCAGTACATTTGGTGCACAGAAAGCAGTTCTTAAAGTAAGTCAATGTACTCACTGCGTCAGCTGGCATATCTCTTCAGGCAGATCAGTGATGCGATTGTCACTGATGTCCAGATGCGTCAGTGCGTGCATAGACCACAGCTGGGGCGGCAGCGAGGAAAGCGCGTTGGTGCGCATTGACAGCACCCTGATGGCAAAGTCTCCTGCTGCGTGTTGCGCCAGCGCAGCGCCGAGGGTGGCCCGGCCGCCACCGCCGCTGAGGTCCAGTACATTTGGTGGTTGTGAGCTTTGGGTTGCCTGTAAGAAAATTGCCGATATAACAATATTCCATCTTCAAGTTTTTAAATTAATTTACTCTTTGCTGTAATAAAGTGTGCCTACCTATGTTCCAATTAATATTGTATTTTAAAACTTTTTTTCTGCTTATCACAAAAGTACCTTTTGAAACTTTTAAGAAAGGTCAAGGACAAATAAAACTTCACACACTTCTCCATCAATCGAAAGTGTATTCACGTATTGCCATGTGCGTTCATAATATGCGCTTGTTCATAACATACAGGGTATGATTATCATTCATTCATTACGTCGCTCATTCAATTATGTTGTGGTGAAAAGGAAAATGCTTTGTGCACTCCTTTTTACGAAGAACATAATAATCGATAAAAGTAGTTAAATAATTGATAACTATTCTCTATCTAAATTGACGCGTGAAGCGATAAGTTAAATAATTATTTTGAAAGATTCGAATTCTCTTGCATTTTTAGCCTTCTTGCTCCTCTTTACATGGCTGTCTATAAATCACCATCATCATCATTTAGGGAGAGTGAGGCTGTATCAAGACTCAAGAGCTCAAAATTAAGGTCAAAAAATAAAGTCTATCTACGTCGTCTCTCAACATAATGAAATTCCGTGAGTAGCCCGGCAAATAATCTGGGGCACGAGATTCCCTATTCATACCATGCATTCACAAACGTTGAGTGGTTAGTTTAAAAAAGTATTACACTATTTACTGGGACAATAGCACATGCTCGTAATCTTTTCATGGTTCTCATTACAAATGTTACGCAATTAAATAGCGTATTGTATGCATCTAAACGTAAACATGTCATGATACCACTACCTATTTACGCATTGTAAAGTTTGGTGGTGGAAATTAATTTGGTTTGTTTATTATTCTGGTCCCACAAGATACCTGAATTAAACACCTTATGACCAAAAAATATTAAAAGTAATATCTTTATTAGAGGTTGATACTTATTGAATTTATATTTTGCGTTCGAGATTAATAATGAAAATACTATATATTACTTAGATAAAAGATAAAATGAACACTCTAGCTAGAGTGCAATGGGAGAGAGAGTACCGCAAAAGAAAAGAAAAGATAAAATAATCTCTATAAAATCATTCTAATTTTAGTGCCCTAAAATTCTAACACTTAATATAGCAATGTTATATGATTTGTAATCTTTGTAAACATCTTTGTGGTTTTTTGACTAAACCTACTGATTGGACTGTGGCACGCGATTGTCTGAGACTACGGTAAATTTTATGCCCCTATTTCATTGAAAAACAACGCAAGCGAATCACCGGTCTCAAAGGATGGTAATATTATTGCAGGTTTGTTGTTTGAATGTAAATATACTTTATGGTGTGGAGAATAAATAGTACCAGACATCGTCGAGTGATAGTGTGACTTTTCTTCTGGGGTTGAATAATTGAGCAATAGTATTTTTCATTAACGATCTTTAAAAAGTAGGAAATAAAATGTAACGATATCACCATAAAAACATTCACTGAAACATACCACAATATTATATTTATCCTTCAAAAGCACATTAGGTTCCAAGCTATCCAAAAAATCTTCACTTGCATCCTGACTAAACACGTCCAAACTATCCGCTTCTTCATCATCCATGTTCACTGTATTCCTTTCCACCATCACTGACACTGCACTAGTCACTGTGGATTTCTTACATCAGGTGACATATCAAAGGTAAGAAAGCTGGCTGTTTCGGTGCGTAACCACGGGGCCGACGAACTGCGATCAGCATTGTTATTATTCCCAAACACAGGGACCTGTCTGCGTCTTCAATATTCCGGTCACAAGTGTCGTGGCTTGCACAAATGGCATTATCTAAACGTCCTTGATAGACTCTGTAGAAGTCACGATTGTAGATGATGAAGTTGTTTGCTAGCTTTCTGATTTATTCACATTTTTCGTGTTCTACAGCTTTGAAAATAACGTTTTGCATGTTTATAAGAGTGCTGCCGATTCGAGTGACTTTTCACTAATGCGAGTGATGACTGCAGTGCCTGTCTCCGCCCCGCTATCCACGGCGCCCGCGCACTTGGACATCTCGACCGTGACATTTCTTCAGGGTGATGCGCACAATTTCTAATTAACACACTTTTTCATACGATAATCGTTTTTTGGTAGAGTCTAATAGAATAGCTCCTTAATCATCTACATTAGATCATAAATGTATCTTTCTCAATTGCAACCAAAATGAACATTATTGCTTGTAATTAACAATGCTTCTTACAATTATTAGAAGACTTTTCTGTCAGTTATTTCTCATTAATTGTAGATTAGAAACGGCAGAAAATAATCTTCATTTAATGCACTTTTACAGTGTGAAATGTACTAATGATTCGACTAGGTGTAAACATCAAGATGCGATTGTAAAAATTCTGATAAAATCTAAAGACGAATTTTAATTTCTAAATCAATTGGAGCTATTTTATGCGTTGGACCAATAAACTGTGAGATAATAACGATTGCCCCAAATCGCTGTTAAACTAATGAAATTTTTATGAAAGTAACGATGAATCTATAGACTTTGTGACCGAAATATTTAGCAATTTCTCATATGATTAAAGTTTCACTTTTCACTGTTAGACAGCCCTATCTGAATGGCGTAAAATTGCACATTGAAATGTCAAAGCTTAAACCTTCAGCAGATTTCCATCAATTTGTCGCTATTATGTTTACGGTTCGTTAGTTTAAGAAGTGTTCCGGAATCAAATCCTCAATCATATGCAGAGTTTGCACATACCGCGGAGCGCTACGATCAAACGCAGATGCACCTACAAACTAGTACCCTAGAAACTAGATCAATTGCATTATCTAAGCATTTTGAAAACGGTACAATGATATTCTTGTGATAACATGCATTCTACGTAATCATTCTCTACACTCTACATGCTAACAACAGATAACAATAGAAGGCCTTACCTCCTTCAACCAGCAGAACCACATGTTTCTTTCCCAAGCAGCGTTGAATCCAAGGAATATGTGATTCAGAGCAGCATCTCCAAGCGTGTTGTTGCCTAGGCAACGGGGTTTCACGCACAGCACAAGTTTTTGAGCTTTCGGAGGGCAAAGCTCGATACTTCCACCGCTTAACTCCAACATCTCCCACGAAGAGCCTGAAATTGTTAGAATACCAAGTAAGCACAAAATCTCATTTGTATGTAAATATATTTATTTATGGAGATTCTACATTATCCAAAATATAAAAACTCTACATACCATAAGAATGTAATCGAGAACCGATTACATGGGCTGGCCTTGGTTTCCATTGCGGGAAGACGTGTCCTTTCAAAATGTGAATGGTCCCAGATCTCAAGACACCACCGGAGCGATCGGCCGGGCCGGCACACCATTGCAGAGAATGCCGAAGTTCAGGGTCGACTGCCAATCTCTGTCTTCTAGCTTCGGAGCTCCAGCCGTAAGTCACTAAGAAATGCTCCTGAATCCTTAGAGGATATTCATCTTGTTCCAGTCGTCTCGATTTTTCTCCACCGATCTGAAGCCACAGGGTCAGTTCTTCTCCAAGTCCCAGTTTCTTATTGACTTCTTCGACGGTGGTGTTGAGGGAGACCTTGACGAGTTTGCTTGGAGCGTCAACAGCGAAGGGTTGGAGGCCGTCAAAAACGCGTATCCATCCGTATTCGTTTGGGTTTCTCGGTTTGAAACCGCGCGTGGATGAGAGCCGGCGTAGCGATTTGCGGCGGGCGTGGGGCGATGAGGCGTGCAAGCCGTCGTCGCAGACCATGGCGGCAGATGGTCGCGGGGACGGAGGCCGGCGCCGCAATGCCCGCGCGCCGGACCCGCGCCCGCGCTGCATTACAATTGGGTCGGAAAAGTGGTGGGGGTGGGAAACATGTTGCTCGGTCAATCGGGAACACGGTGGAATACAAATTGTCTCCGATAATGACATGTAAGGTTATTTTACACATCCGTTTCGGGATGCACGTTTTGGTGAAGAATACATTTTGCAAAAGGAATAAAGCAAATTATAAAATAAAATGTCTATTAACTTAACGTTCATAACTAGATTAGTCCAGTCATTATAGTAAGTTCACCTCGGAATTCGAGATACCCAGCTGTAAGTCTGTAAATACTTGTATATTGACACCCTAAAAGTTGTCTCAAACCTACATATCAATATTGTAGAATACAAAATATTGATAATAGTTAAATACAAATAGCAAAAAATCCATAGGAAATGAGATATTTCCAAAAAAAGCGCAAAAAAACGATTTTTGTGACCTTTGACCTTAAAATTTAATAGTTGCTTACACCCTACCATATGTAGGTTTTGAGACAACTTTTAATTTAGGGTGTCAATATACAAGTATTTACAGGCTTACAGCTGGGTATCTCGAATTCCGAGATTCTTACCTAATTTAAGCTTAAATGACTGGACTAGATATGTATTTTTGCAAAAGTCTTCATTTCTATTTTATCACAGCTATCATTTTAGCACATCTAGGCTACCCCTTTGATTTTCAATCACATTTGGAGAAATTTAGAAAAAAAAAACAAACAAAAAATAATAGAGGTGATTCAACATAACTGACTTTAACTTCATTTGAAATAATGGTAGCCCACGCATAAATAGGGCAAGGAGTACCAGACATGGTTCCGCGCCAGCAAGCACCCCACCTGCTGACTCACCTGCCGCGTCCGTGCTGTTCACCCTCGACGACGTAAACAAAGTACAGACGACGGCACATCCAACTAAACACAGTGGCATCTTACGTAGTTCTAATAAGTGTGACTTTGCAATAAAATGTATCTAGACTGACGTGCTGTCGATTGTACAATGCTCACCTCATAAGTCCCACGCTGGTTGTAGCAAACCTGTAGCTTTATTGTCCTATTTACGGAAGGATGTGCTAAGTAGATGACGATTCCCAAAACATGATTTCACAGGGCGACTCTCATAAGAAAGTTCTCGCACTCGACGCACACGCCATAGTCAACTCTTCGTTCCATTTTTCGCCAATGTAGAGCGAATTATTTCAAGGAAAATCTGCGATATTTTTCGCTCGGATTCCTTATAAGTAACTTAAACTTATCACGTATCTGTCTGTCTCAGTATTTATTTATCTCCGTTATCAACTTGCGAAGTATCTGTCTGCTAATCTCACCATCTCACCACACACATAGTTCTTTTTCTGTACAGAATACCTAGCATTCCCTGCGTTCTTAGATCACAGATCAGCCGTACAAAAACAGTCTATATACGGAATCCATACTGATTCAGCGCTCTCTACAAGTTTAACAAGTTTAACAGAGACGAATTGATTCAATCATCATTTTATTTCTTAATACTCATAGTTAACTGCATATCAAACATTTTTATTGTTTTATGATGGTTTTGATTTATGTGCATATTAGAACTGGGCTTACATGCTGCTAAACCACGCAATTTGTCTTCAATATTAATAATTCATATAAGATTTGAAATATTTTAATAGGGAAAGTTAATATTACTTTCATTAATATCAAATGTCTCATAAATAGAGTCGCTCATAAATTAGTTATTATTATTATTAACTATTTTAGATGAATTCTTTAAAAACATGATTTCACTATGTCTCGTTTTAAACAACTTACTTACTTTTTTTTTCAATTTAGAGAAAGTTAAACAAAACGATGATCATTTTTAATCAATTTATTTCCAAGGGTAATTCTTATGTATCCTGTTATTTCCGCACAGACAAGTCGCGTTGCAGAATCCTTGAGGGCATACGTCAGCTAGCCCGACCAGTTCCTCGCAGTTGGAGTAAAAGTCACGGTGGAAACATGGGTTGGTGCAGAGTTTGTCAGCTACGCAGCTTTGTGGGCAGTCCTGGCATGGCATACCTGCTTTGTACGGGAACTCGGGAGTGGGTATAATGTTGCCACTGAAAAATATATGAACTGATAACGTTGACGTCAAAGAGTTGAAAAAATCGAATGTCTCCGATTCAAATTGGCCATAAATAAATCTTATTAGACACAAGTAGACATCTATTATATACAACTCAATCGAGTCATTGATCATTGATCAAAAAGTAAAACTAGCCTATGTATTAGGTAATGTAAGATCTAAACGAAAGAAAAATCTTTTGATGTTCATTTCCCTAGCTAGAGAAGTAAAAACTAAACTAAGTGCGTATTAACGCACATAATTTATATTTTAGTAGGTCAAAATTAGATAACTGAATTAACTAATTTATGCAAATTAAATGATCAAGTTACGTGATAATTTATTTTATTTGACTTGACAATGGTGCGTGAAATTTTTAACGTTGGCACGTGGGAAATAGTAGTTGCATTGATGATTTCAACCACATCTGCTTGTAGCTTCAAACTAGGCGCTACATAGGTCGATCTTAGTAACGCATTAGTTACACAATTTTTAAAATAAAAAGAAAGATACAAAGGTGTACAATGTACATTGTAAGCAAAAAGGTGCAAAATTTTGTCATTTGCTACGAAGTGATAGATAAAATCTTGAATAGTTGACCAAAGTTTCAAAAAGTGAAAGCTTTGTTTAATCATAAAACTGATTTAATTGTTAACTAACTGAAACAGTAAATATACGAGATGGTAAACGAATATTGGCAACTTCGGAACTTGATTTGAACACAACGTGATTTTATAAGTTTAAAAAGAAAAATATACTCACTGTGGACAATAGTGACAAACGTAGTTGTAAAACTGTCCCCATGGTCCCCCTGCACAATGCGCTATGCCGCAGCCCAGTTTATGGCTTGTGGCCCACACCATCTGTGTGTAGTGCCCTACAGCCTTCAGGTCGCGTATTGGCAACCCATACGTGAAGTTCTGATATTCGAGAAACCAGCTCTTGAGGGCGAAGAACCTAAAAATGTAAAACAGATTTGTAAAAACGCAGCATTTTAAAATTCTTCCGTAAGTATCTCTGTCAGACTAATAATGATACAGGATCATTCGTCATCAGTCATATGTACGAAGTACTCGTACATATGACTGATGACGAATGATCCTATCTAGAGAGGAACTTAGGTCATGTCCCCTCACACCTAGTTTACGTTTCGCGTTAGTTAGTGTCTAAAGTAGATATTTAAATTAAACAAATGCAAGGGCATTTGTTTACATCTCAGAAGAACAACAGAAGTAACTTCATCTGTCATAGGACAAAATACCTACTATTGTCAAGAATCTTTGAATGNGAAGTTCTGGTATTCGAGGAACCAGCTCTTGAGAGCGAAGAACCTAAAAATTAAAGACAGAATTGAAAAAAATACGCAGCATTTTAAAATTCTTTCGTATTTCTGTCAGACTAATAATTATTTATTTATTTATTGCACATAATGAATACACTGTATATTGTTAGGTACTAGGTACTAACATACAAATGCACACCCGGTTGGGCACAGCAATACAAAATAACATTCGTCATCAGTCATTATATTATTACTAGAGAGGAACTTACATGTCCCCTCTTAGGTAAAGTAGGTGTTTCACGTTAGTTAGTGATAGAGTACCTAAATATTTCTTAGCAGGCAGAGGCAATAAATTAAACAAATGCAAGGGCATTTGTTTACATCTCAGAAGAACATCAGAAGTAACTTCATCTGTCATAGGATAAAATACCTACTAATTGTCAAGTTCGTAGCGTTTAAGCTTGGTGTGCCTTTAGATTGACACGACATCGTATCATCAACCATGCATTATCCTTGTTAATTATTTTTACATTTGTATAAACTTTACTGCATCATAACATAACAAAGGATTTTTTCATACGGTTAATTGTGTAATACGTTGATCACGTTTCATTATTTTGTTTTTCAAACAAGCACAATAATTGTTACTATTATTACGTTTAGAGCTTTAAGGTCACGTTAACTTGGCTTATTATATTGCTATCGGGATTGAATTGCGACATAATAACAGCCTTTATTTACATACGATGTCTATCTCACGCTTGATCAAGTCCGTTAATTTTCTTTTCAACTTGGACACATTAATGCCTTCAATTAAACTCGAGTCATATTGATAAAGTTGATCTATAGGGAAAAAAACTACCTTTTATTCTATTCACTTTTATAACCTGTGAAATCTGTAATTACTTTATCACGAATTTAAGCACTGTATTTTTAAAATCGAAACATCGTGACGAGTTCGTACTACACAGGAAATCGAGTCAAACCTGACAAAAAACAGAGAAACAGGCCGGATAATATAATTTATCTTTAGATTTATGGACTTAACTGAACCTTGGCTCATATTGACTCTTCATTGAATTTTTATTGTTCCTTTATGTTTTATTGATTGAAGCAAAAAAATATAGCTGATACACGATGAACAGTTAGGTTCAACTCCATCACAGATGTAAACATTGTGTTTTTACAATACTAAGGATGTTTCTTTTGTCAATCACCGTATTACGCGATATTAAAATTTACTTAGCTAATCTATTATTTAAATATACTGTCACAAAACCGTAGCTATTGGATAATCTGTGACCAAAGTCATTAACAACCGGGGGGCAGGTTGGGTTTATGTAGAGCCTTATGTAGAGCAACTTTCAACTTTAAAACGGATTGACCTACATAAGGTTTGAGCATTCTTCAAACGGAACGCGAATCAATTTATTTACGTGTTTGACTCAAATGAATTTATGAATAGTATACGCAAAAACTTATTAAAAATATCTTACCAAGGAGTTTTTTGGCTAGACACGAACAAATTTTGTCCACAACTGCCAAGTTGCGGGATAGTGTTCTCTCTGGCGTCGTTGTGTTTCAGAAACACGCATCTGTCCGCATATTGTTGCGCTTGCTTCGCGGCCAATGGGTGCCATGACTGCAAAATGAAAATAACTTAAGAAATAAATTTTTACTAAGTTATTCTGCGATTAAGTAAAAAGCTTGTTAATGCCTTCTAACCAAGTTGTCGCATACGCCTGTTGAATACTGATAGGATTTATAAAAATCAAATTCAAATAGTTACCTAGTCGTCTGGTAGAAAGACACCTTGAGATTCGTATAGAATTTCGAACATTACATACCTACCTAGCATCTTTATGGTCGTCTATCAAAGATTTGAAAAAACCCTGAGCTGGAAAAGCTCCGCGTCAACGTAACTTATTTGAAGCCTATCTAGCATTCGGTTAGCATTAACAAAGATGTTAAAATTAATTAAGCGTTTTTATTTAGTTTTTTTAATTAAAATAATCAAGTAAATTAAAAACTAAATAAAAAAATGAAAAACGTGGAGTTAATTAATGTTTACGGTTGAAAATTAATGTTCAGATTTTTATACTTAAATCTGCACTTTATACACGCGACCTTTTTACTGCTTAATCAGGATCAGAAAATTATTTATGATAAGGTTTAATTAAATTAAGTTTAATTACTCTTACAAGTTCCCAATTTCATTTTTCTAATATTCAAGATAGAGCAAATTACTGATTTATCTCACAGCACAGCTGAAACAGCGGGGATAGAACTATTTCTATCCCCGCTGTTTCAGCTATCCCGTATAATAGACCCGTATCGATAATTGTATTATTTCCGTATTCGAGACTCTATTTGTATTATTATTGATTTTTATCACGTCTGTGTACCGCTTTCAATCAAGCCAGCCATTTTTAATGGAATATTAAGTTACTTTTGCACATAACTATTTACCCTGCCCTGCCCAATTGATTCGGCTTGCCCAAGAAAAGCATGCGGTTTACCCGTTACTAATTAACTAGAAAGTTAATATTGTACATGTCGACAATAAGTAGTAAAATTAACTTGCAACATGTTGGCCAATGTTTAACCAAATCATTAAATCATAGGCAACTACTTTTATACAAACTGAATTATTGAAATATTATTTTATTGAGCGATAAAATAAATTTTATCGCTCAATAAAATAAGTAGAGTCATTGGACTTGTTTTCCTAAGGAGTCTCGTCGTTTCTGAATGTTTCTGAAATATGATAAAGATACAAAAATAGGTACACTCAACATCAAATAAATCGCACCTTCCGCGACGTGAACTTTAAAGATTTTCTTCTGACACAATCATGGTGCCCCAACGATATTGGTGTATACCTACCATAATTATGCGACTTGAAAAAAGACCTCACTTGGGGCTCACCTTTGGGATCAATTAGACCAATGGTATTAAACAAAATAATGATCTCACGTGTCCTCTTTAACAGATGGATAGCGATTAATTTTAACTTAACAGTTTTATAGCCATAAAAGTTTGCTCAAGCGTCCTTTCTTCTAAATACACATTTTTGGGGTAAGTAAAAACCTTTCCATTAATGAAATGAAGTTTAGAACTAGGATTTTAAATGGTGCCATTATTGGTGGGAAGTGGGGATGCATACGTTTGAAAGTGCTTGTCGCGGGAGGTGCGATTTATTCGGTGTCGAGTGTAGTTTGTTTCTTACCATCATCAACATGTTTGCTGCAGGAGGCTGGACTTTGGTTCGCAAGAAGTTATGGTAGAGCACGATTTTTCTTCGGACTATGGACCGTTTCGGATTTAAAGCGTTATCAGGAATTTTACTTGCTGGAAAAAGCTCTGAAAGAGTAATTA